AAATCGAGGCAGAGTTAGGGGAATAGTGCTGGGATGGCTGGATTACCCTCTCTCTCCTCTGGACTGCAGGCACAAAAGATACACCTTGGTTCTATATTATCTTTTCTGCAGTGCCCACCCTGGTGCTCACTGTTGCCAGACCACCTCATCACCCTAGTATGTGATTGCGAAGGAGATGCGTAGATTCCAAGGCCAGAAGGGACCATTGTGATCATATAGTCTGAGCTCCTGTATAACATCTTCCATAGAACTCTCACATAATTCCTGGAGTACATCTTTTTAGAAAAACAACCAGTCTTGATAATGGTCAGACTCTACCACAACCCTTGACATATTGGCCAATGTTTAATTACCCTCACAGTTAAAAATCTGTGCCGTACTTCCAGTCTGAATTTGTCTAGCTTCAACCTTCAGCCAATGGATTCTGTTACTGGGGTCCAAGCCAGTGTGGAGGTGAGGGGGTTCTTACAGATTTTCTTCCTCCATGGCTGCTCCTGCAGATTTTACTATGGGAAATGGCAATCTAGACTTTTCAGGTGCTCAGCAAGAAGAGGGTATGGATGCTGCCATCATGGCAAGCTGGTCTTTTCAAAGGAAAGGCCAGTGACTTTCTGTTGCTTGGGAGCAAATTATGCAGTTTTCTTAGGGAAAAGGAGGGAGAAGATCTACTGCACTGAGTTTCCCAATCCCCATACACGCAATTATGCGTATTTCTCAGGGCAGCCAGTCTTCACCTGGGAACCATACAACATGGTTCGGTGGTGGTCGGGAACTGACTGGCTTGAGACAGAAGGTTTCATGACTATAAAGTAGATGGTGCATCGGTGGGGAATCTTAGCATCTTTGCTGATGGACAAGCTTGGATAATAGGCTCAGGAGCTATGGGACACACATATAACTGGTCTGGATGGGACTGGGAATGAGAAACAAGGGACTCCCAATCTCCTCAGAAGTAAAATTTGAGATGCCAACTTTTGTCTTGATCTGCTGAATGATGTCTTCTACATTTTAAATGTGGATTTTGCTATCAACCCACCACGGCATCATACAAGACTGGGGTAGACAAGTGTACAAAACCAAATCTTTATTAGAGCTGTCATAAGTAAATTAGTGGTTTAGTCCACTGGAACTTGCCACTTACGCAGATTTAGAGTAGACTCAAGAAGCTAACTGGATGAAGACATAGGACTCTTTGATAGTTGTATGTGATTTTATTTATCTACTTGTATGGCCCTCACCACCATGGTAGCGGAAATACTCCTTTGAAGGCTTCCCTCCAAGCAATTACTTTTTAATTTTTTTAAAATGGTATTAATGTACGTAGTTCTTAATATCATCTAGAATGTACAGGAGGAGGTCAGGTGAAACAGAAATTCAACACTGTAATTCACAGATAACCTGTTCAACTGCTGTTAATTCCAGGACATTTGAGATAAAACCTGAAATAACAATGTGTGCATATTTGCATTCCAAGGTTGGCGATGGGAAGGGGACACTGTTTTACATGTTATTAGTTAATTCTTCTATTCACTTGCACTCTCAAATCTTTAAATAAAACAGCTATATACAGTAAAGCTTGCATGTTCTGAAGTCATGTAAGCATACATATATATATACACACTATACATGGCATGTGTTTATTCTAACACAGTCAACTAACATAATATGTGCTCGGCTGGTTGCATTATTTTTAAGACCCCCTCTTTACCTCCTGCAACTGCTGTTCTTGCCCAAGTATATAATGATTAATGTGTCCTTCGGCAAATGCGATTGGATTTGTCTGATTGTATTAGTTCCTGTTCATTGGAGTTACTGAGCATCAATCACGTTTTAATCAGAGCTTGTGTACATTGATTTTTTTGTAAACAGCCTCAACAATGGGACTCATTGTGATCCTGAATTAAGTCCTTAATGGCAACAAAAACTAAATAAAAAGATGACAACTTTCATATATAATCATGATTTTAATTTTTAAATGCAACCATATATGTTTCTAATGTGCCACTTAACCTGTTGAATACCCTAAAACTAGATTAGCATTTTTAAAGAAAATGCCATCCTTATGTTTGTAATTATTTTTATTAACACAAATATCGTTATGGGACTCCCCATAAAATTCCCAAGTGCTAATAGGCCTGTCTTACCTTCTGCAAAAAGCTGTATTTAAAATATATATTTTAACTTATCAGATCATCTATCTTAATGTGTATTTTTTAGAAAGATAGGAACTCTTCCTTAAAAAACACTGGTACAGAATCCATATTTGTGCACTGAAACAACAAAATAATTGCCACTTATATGAGCAAGATCACATCTCCTTGTTCAGGAGTGTCAATGCAAGTGTCACACTAATGATGAAAATTGGCAGTGATGTATTTAATTCTCGTTCAGACTGTTAAGAGGAAGTGTTCTAAGTTTAGAAAAGAAAAACTAAACTAAATAAAATAAAATGAATGTTGTCTTTTGTCAAATGACTGACCAAAAGTTGTGCTCGCTGGTTTCTTAAGATCATGCCGGGTATCCCATCCATTTGAATAAGCAGTGTTTAGTGATGGATTCAGAATTGTGCAAGATTAACTATCCTCCCACATATAAACAGTGTGAGAAATTAAGCCTTTAAAAATGGAATGCTCCCATTTAATGAGGCTCAGTTGATTTCATGCTATGTTGATCTTTCTGATCTGTCAAGTGAGGATTAGACTGAAACAATTACTCTCATTTTAAACCCAATATTGAATAATTCTTGTATTATTAACATGTAGCTATCCAGATACTTTGAGGATGAGAGCATCTACTGAAGGAAGTACCTGAGAGTGAAAATGCATGGCTGCCTACAAGCATAATGTCTTAGAGCTCCCATTTAAGGATGGATGAAATGGTTTTGAAGATGTTAGGAAACTCCTGAAGCTTTGTGATGGTTTTGAAATGTCTGATTAACTCCCCTCTCCTGCCCATACCCACACTTTTTTGCAGTTCTGCACTCCCAGGTTCTGGCTGGGATAAGTGTCAATATTCCCCACAAAAGGCTATTTAGGTGATCTTTCCATCCCCTGACTGGAAGCAAGTAGTACTGGGACTCTCATGAGAAAGCCTCTTGTTCTGATGTTTCTATCTCTTCTCTGCAGGTTCAAGAGATTCAGAGAAGCACCCAAAACTCTGGATGCTTATCCAAACCTGAGCCAATCCTAATTTTCAAACATCTTGAGTCATGCCCACCACCAGCAGTCTTCTCTAGGACTGGTTAGCCCTGGCACAAGAGAGCCTACTCCCAGGGTGTCACAAGACACTGTGGACGATTTTACCCCAATGTGGTCACTGGCTGGTAGTCCATTAAATAGAAGAATTTACGCAATGCTGAAACAGAGCCAGTTCCCAGGATAAAATAAATTAAGCTCAGGTAGAATATCCCAAAGGCAATGGTCTTGCAACTTCAGTTGACTGAGTAACTTAAAACTAGGCTGGATGAAGTACTTGGGAATATGCTATAGGGAATGTTTTTACATTAACAGGATGACCCAGTAACTCTTTCCTGTTTCTAATTTCCATGACACTCTGGGGAATTCTATGAATTGTGGGTCGGTATATCTGTGGAATTGTGGAACATCTGCGCACCTATTGGGCTAAAGAAAGGTACTTTATAGCTAGAGAAGGAACCATCAACTCAGTAGGGCAGTTCCAGGTCAGAGATTACAGAGGAATATAGTTTCTCTGGATGAAGAATATGGTGGAAGGTTGTAGCACCTCAGTAAAGAGAGAGCCTCTCTCCCTGGAGTAAAATAGGAACTGAGCAAAGGCAACTATAGTTCAAAGAAAAGAATGTATCTAACAACATTCTAAAGCATTATTTTGTATCTCTATGTGTGTATGAGATAGAAAATCGGACCCATTTTTAGATGTATGAGGGGATGGATTTCGCTTATATGGGTGGTGAATATTATGGGTCACATACGCTACACAGTCCTCACAAGGACCCTCCATTCATGTCAACGGGAATGCTGTGCAAGGAGTGAGGGCAGTATCTGACAGCTAGTTGGTTCTTAGAAAAGGTAATCTTATCCTTGTTGTTATGAAGGAGGCAGTGGTATTAATTATATTAACTTGGCATATCATAATATAGAGATAAGTTATAACGTTATGGACAAATCCTGCTCTGTTCTACCAGAATGAAGCTAAAGTCTAAGAAACAAATGAATAGAATTTGGTCCCATATCTATAGTTCCTCCACACAAAAAAATTACATGACATTAGAAGAATGTTTCACAAACGGTGACCAGTGGTCTGCAAAGCTGTGACTGGTCACATGGCACTGGCTCTTCCTCCCTCCTTATTTTCAGCTGCTAGATTGGATTTAAAAGGAAGCTACTTTGTTAACTTGCCCGAGCTGGGGTTTCCTTAGCAATCCCCCCCCTCCCATGAAGGTGTTTGTGAAAACAGTTTTCTTTTGATTCTTTCAGCCCATTTTGGTGCTTTTGGTGGAAATGAGTGGAATTTGATTTTCTCCCAGTGGCTGAGTGCAGAGAATAATGATTCTTAAATTTCAGAGTAGCAGCCGTGTTAGTCTGTATCCGCAAAAGAAAAGGAGGACTTGTGGCACCTTTGAGATTAACAAATTTATTTGAATATAAGCTTTTGTGAGCTACAGCTCACTTCATCGGATGCATTGAGCATAAGCTTCCGTGAGTTACAGCTCGCTTCATCGGATGCATTCATTTAGACTGAATGCATCCAATGAAGTGAGCTGTAGCTCATGAAAGCTTATGCTCAAATAAATTTGTTAGTCTCTAAGGTGCCACAAGTCGCCCTTTTCTTTTTGCGGATTCTTAAATTCTGGCTGAGGGGGTGAAAAGGTGCAACAGTAATAACAGACTGGATACTGATATGGAGAAATGTAACTTGATATGTACAATAACCCCAAGTCACAGATGATTTATTGATTATACTCCATCCTTTGGCAGCCCCTTGGTGAAATTAAAATAGTGATGAACATAAGGATGGGTTACCTGTCTGATCCATTCCATGCACATTCAAACTTGTCAAAGATGCAGTCATTTTCATAAAGGGAACACAGCTTGCTCCTAAGGTAATCATGGACCTGTTTAACCGAAAAAGACAGTGCAGTTTTTACAAATCATTATTTTAGAAATGTTCTATACTATTGCTCTTACAGGTTGGTAGATTTTACAAAGATAGAGAGTACTTCTATCTCTTAAACAAGAGATCTGTGCTCTTCTGTAGTTCAATTAAAAGAGTGCTATAGAACTAATGGAGCAGGAAAGCTTTGGCTAGACCATGCTTTTTTGAGCATACTGTAGATTACCTTTCTCAAACATGGTTGATTCCTGTTAGTGTGAATTTCTGAACTCTAGCCTGATTCCAAAATGGATCTTCCCCGTTGATACAGCAGATGTGCTAATGAGAGAATGAATCGTCTAACTTAAATAATAAATAATAATAATCCAAGATCTATATAGACTTTCACTTACATTATAGGGTTCAGAGAGAGGTCCCTGCTCCATTTATAAAAGCTATAATCTGCGGTATTACATTATACAGCAATTCAGAAATAAAGTATAGTATAGTGGTGTCTTATTTACATAGACTAGTACCCAGAATTCTCTCCCGCTCATAGCTACTTCATATCAGTGATGATGTCTGAGATCTGAAAACAAACCATGAGTTCTTATCTTGCATGGTTTGAAAGTAAGATTCACAGAAGACCTTGTTTTAGGCTGCATACCTCTATGGAGTGTGAGTTTATCATAGAGGACATAACTCATGTGCATTGCATCAGTCCTTTAATTAATTCAATTTTTTTCTTCTATATGATGTTCTTCACCCCCACATTGAAATAAGAAGCCAGAGAATTCCTGCCTGCACAAGGCCTAATAATCCAACACCTCCCTCCAATATGAATGTTGTATAGATGACTTCTGAGGAAGTACTATATCAATGCAATGTAGCATAAGGACCAAATTTAGTCCTGGCGTAAGAAGGTACCCCTTCCACTGAAGTTCATGGAAACTATGTCTGTTTATGTCAGAGATAAATTTGGCTCTCTTGACTGTGGCGTTTTCAGCATCCTCCACTGGTCGAAGGCCGAGAATCTTCTCCAACAAGATACTTTAATACCAGTTTCACTGCTCTGTCTAGCTAGTTCACTCAAGCATTATTAAAACTAGAACTGTTTGCTACAGCTGCACTGTACTGTACAGTGAACAAACTTGCAAATTAACTCAATGTTTTATGGGCTATAAATTTCGGTCATGGATCAATTTTCAGAATCAGATTAGTGAGCATCCTATACTATATATGATCAGTTAAAGTTTGTCAGCTGAACACGCTATTTACTTAATAGCTAATAAACATGTGGGAGATGTGGGTGGAATGTTTCCCAGTTAAATGCATTTACTGAATGTTGCACTTTGTGGTGCACGTTCATGGTGGATGCTTCGTGTAACCTTCAAAATGAGAACATTCCATCTTCCCTTATTGATGGGCACCAGATTTTTTCAGGAGAAATTGGCTGGGTTCCCTAATTGTCACTCATCTCCGAGGCGACGATCATTGTCTCATTTGTTAATATTTTTAATTGTATTACAGGATTGAGATTATGTATGTTTATTGTGTTAATTTATGTTATAGGAGTGAGGCCCTTTCAGCAGTATCCTGATTGCCTAGCACAAAAATCAACACATGGAAGAAACTGACAAAAAAGGACAGGGCAGGATGAAAGGATGAAGCAGCAGTAAAATGATATGCGTAGTATTCAGTGGTCTCAGATCTCCACCTGCCTAGCCATTTTCATCTCCTCATGCTCTTTTTTCTGCTATCTGTTCCATGTGCCACATGACCACTGTGACTAATGCTCCCTTGGAAAAGTGTGTTCAGCTCTACAACTTTTAATCAGCTATGCAGTGCTTTGTGTTTCCTCCATTTTCATTCTTCCTTCTGAATTTCAGAAGCTCCTAACTCCTCGTTATCAAGGTGTTGATGCTCTGTCCACAGTCTTTCACAAATGCCAGTGCTCATTTGTCGGCTCATCATTCTGACCTTTCTTTTCACTCTTGCTCACACTGATACCCTCCAGGATAACTGTGAGAATCTTCAAGGTTAAAAATTTGAACACCTGCCCTGTTTTTCCATTGAAACCTCCCACTCATGGAATGTTGAACCATCATAAAGATGAGGTTATCAAATCAGCTTCCATTGCATCAGTAAATTAAACAATGACTAGAGGCAACCGTGCACCAACATTACCAAGATCACTGCTGTGTTGGCCTCTGCAAAGGTGGCACAGCAGTTGTGTGGATGATTCCAGATGTTGATTTCATCCCTTCCTGCACCAGTCAGCAGAGCGGCTGTGGAAGGGAGCACACATTTCTACCTCTAAGACTGGCACAGGAGTGGCTTTCTCTGGGAACTGTTGGAAGCTCCACATCACTTCCATAGTGGCTCAGGGCTACAGTTTTGCCCTCTCTCTCCTACCCTCGCTGCAATGGATTGATGTGACTGACCATTTAGAAACATGGTTTCAATGGGATAATCTGTGGTCAGTGGCATTGCACGAAAACACATTGTTTTTTATAAAAGTCTAATACCACAAGCAATAAAAGTACTTTAGTTTGTACACTTAGGTTTTTCATTATTATTATTAATAATTATTATTAATAATAATTATGATAAAATTCATCCACTGCTTAATGAATTCTGGAAGTAAAGTCCACACTATCATGGTTTGATGATAAAACTGGATTTTATTGTCCAAGTATTGTTCATATGTGCTATCTCGCCATCTATGAAAAATGTTCCAATTTCCATAAAAACTGTTCTTAATGAATTGCCACCAGAATTTTCCTTTCTGGAACCATGTTCCTCAGTTATGTAAGCCCTTGACAGAATTATCCAGACATTCTACACTCTGGGGAAACACTGGGGAGCTATTTTGATGGAACAAATTATTTCAGGCAAGGATTGTCATGACAAAAGGCACATTAGTCTGAATTATTGTCATTTGGCCTTGCCCACTTTGAGATCACACTGATACTAACCACAAACATGGTCATGTTTGGTTATTGATAACAGAGTTCTGTATTATTCTGACCTCAAGGTGATGAGGCCTTAGAGAATTACATAGAGATCTTGTTTAGAAGATGTCCAAGAAACTAAATTCTGTCAGTGGAGCAGTTATAAAACTTGTCTCTTCTTGACCCCTATGGAAAATCTCCTATCGTGACCCTTCATGGAAGCAATCTCATCTAGCTTTCAAAATATATACATTCCATATGTGCACATGGCACTTCACAGCAGTCTAAATTTAGACATCCAGTAATGTACAATGATGACTACAACAAGGGAGGACCAGGCACAGTGGATTAAAAAGGCCAAGGGTTGCAATAATATATCATGTTGTTTCAGTTAGGAATATGCTTAACAGTTCTCTGAGAGCAAGTCATATATGAGTGACATAAGGAGTAGGAGGAAGGCAGATAAAATGGTGAACCCATCAGAGCAACAGAGAGGAAGGGAAGGTGGAAAAGGGCACAGGCAGCAAAAGAAAGGCAGAAGGATGGTTCTGTAAAAAGGAGAATGTGGTGGGGGAACACAGCGAGGGCAGGACGTGGTAAGCTGCCACAACAGAGCAAAGTCAATATGAGAGAGTTTTAATATTAGTTAACTGGGCTGACTATGGGAAGCAGTGAGGGCTTCCCCCTTGCTGCTAGTGCAAGTGCCATTTGATTCCAGACACCTGAGGCTTTTTGTTGGCCACCCCCTTGAGGGGGCAGGCGGCTGGATGCTGAGCATGACATGGAATCATGTTATGTGGATTCCTTCTAGCAATTAAAGGGGAAATGGAGAAGAGAAATAGGGTGCAGTTCAGAGCACATCAGAGGGATATCATTTTTCTCTAACTTTATTTAGCGGCAATAGGCTCAAGATAATGCAGTTCAGAGTCCTGCACAGGATGTATTGGAAGTCTGCATGTCTTTATAGTTGTGCCTTATGAGAACTTGGCATTTGTGAAAGTAAGTAGTCCTAGTCTGAGATACATTACAAAGATTAGTTCAAAATACAATAGAATATTGGGACTGAGTAATGAATATTATCGATGGGATGTGAGGATAAAAATTGCCCCGACCTTCAGTTACTTAATGTACATAAGTTCTTGTTATGAAGAACACATTTTTACAATGGTTGTCCATAGCACTACCTAGTGTAAAACAGGAGAAAATTTAGACACAAAATAGTAGCAACATGGGGAGACTGATACAGTTTTTCAGTAGTTCTCAATCAGGGGTTCGAGGCCCCCAGGGGAGCCTCCAAGTTGGGCCAGCATTAGACTTGCTGTGGCCCGGGGCAGAAAGCCGAAGTCCCACTGCATGGGGCTGAAGCCCAGGTTCCTGAGTCCTGCCACCAAGGGTTGAAGCTGAAGCCTGGGCAATGTAGTTTCATGGGGGCCCCTGTGGCAGGGGGCCCCAGGCATCTTCCCTGCTTGCTACCCCCTAAAGCCGCCCTGGCTTTTACATGAGAAAACCGGTTATTGCAGCACAGGTGGACCGTGGAGTTTTTATAGCACGTTGGGGGGGGAGGGGAGGCCTCAGAAAGGAAAAGGTTGAGAACCCCAGCAGTAGATGACAAAGCGAGCCTCTTAACAAGTATCTTATATCCTGAGTACATGATGATCCACCACATTTTAAAGCAATATTAATGTTATAGATGAGAACTCTTTTTACCCTACAGTAAATAATTGCTACATGGGTTATGAGGCATTAGATGAAATGATGTAGCTCAAATATTCTTATTTATTTTGTTTATCATCTTATGTTTCACTTCTCTTTTTTGTATGGAGGCTTTTCTTTATTTGTTTGTTTGCAGATGGAAAGGCATAACCTGTAGATACAGTCCACCAAGCCCAGATTTTCAGAACTGTGTATGAGCAAATACATGTCCAATTTGCACCCACAGTTATTGTGCTTACATGTGCAGTTGTAGCAATTACATGTGCAAATATCAATATATTCAAAAATGCACAGTTCTGAAAATCTGGGCCTTAATTGCTGCCTTCTGAGTACATGTCAAGGTGCATAATAATATTTCTTTATTAATTTGCATTTGCTATCCAGACATTCGTGTGTCTGTGGCCTGGTGGACATAATATTTGCATGAGAAAAATATATTTTAAAAAGTATAATTTTTGAACATTTTCTCTTTTCTATAAAACCCAGAACCATCTTTTCCAAGGAGAAGAGGACAAAAGGCTGCAGAAAATAGCCTGAATTTGTTGAATCCTAATCACTGATGTTATACTGTCCTATGAGGCATCCTCTCATAAATCACTCGTGATCTTCCTTGTTTTGTCATCTGCAAAGGATTTATTTATATCAATGGCATCACTATCCTCTCTACAGTGGGTAAGTGTTTGAAAAGCAAAGAGAATCTATAGTTTCATGGAAGGCAGCAAGACCTAGTTTTAGACTTTCCATCTTTTTATAAGCTTCTGATTATTGCAGTCAGTAGTGAAAAATTTACATTTTACTCATTTCCCACATCTCTGCATGGAGAAATATAACTTTTTAATTGGCCCCACTGCTAGGTGTCAGGTTGATTTAAAGGTGGCCGGCTTATTTCAAAGATTCGTACATGAGGAAATAAAAGCAGATGTCAGACTCAAGACAAACAGGTTGGCCTGAGTATCTCTTTCCCTCTAGGGAGAAGGCTGCTTACCACATTAACATATATGCAAAATAACACATTACCAGAGGTCCCAAAATCTTAGACATGGATGTAACATACCAAATACTGTTTTATTTCCCTCACTTCTCATCATGTTTTGCATAAGAACCAAATTCTCTAACACATTTATCACTATCAGGGCAGTTAAGTTACTGAAGAAAGTCAGTTTGTGGCTTTACAAGAATGTAAATTGACATTTTCAAAGGCTAATATGGGATTTAGCTACACAGCTCCTACTGAAACTAATGGGATGTGTCCCTGAAACCTGAGTCTGTATTGGCTGCTTGTACAGTTAAAGAGAAAAGAAAAAGAAGACCCTAAATACTGTTATGGTGGGATTTGGCCTGATAAACCAGACTCCTGAGTTCTTAGTAAATGTTACCAGGAGTTCAGGGAAAATAATTAAAAAAAACAACAACCCAAACCCCACAACCCTATTCCCACGGCAGGGAACACTGAGCTTTACCTCCACGGACCTAAAATGTGAGATATATACAGCAGAATATTCATTTTCAACTCCTGATCTCCTGCAGGGCTGTCTATAGCTAGGCATTACTGACCAGCCCAACTGTACTTTTAAAGATTGTCATTTTACATATACTTATGCAGAACATAGTTTTCAACAGCTTTTTCCCATTGTATTTTTGCAACAAGGACGTTCTGAGGGCACACTTGTCCCACTTTGAGTGATCTTAGAATATTTTAAACTCAGATTGTTCTTACCAGATGGCACAGACTCCAAGGCCCAAATTCACTATTGGCTAAAGTCAGCAGAATTGCATGCTCCAACACTGAATTTGTCACCTTGTGTGAGTTTGACTGGCATTAGCCAAACTCCCACAGTGATGACAATATTTTGATTTAACAAGGGTTTCTTTTGTGATTAGGCCAGTTCAGAACTCTAGGAAGAAATCTACATGTGGGATTTTCAAAAGAACTCAGCACTGGCCTAATTCTGCTCCCCCTAACTTAATGGTGCAGCTCTCATTGATTTCAATGGGACCAGAATTAGGCCAATGCTGAGCACTCTTGAAAACTCGAACCTACATCTTTATTACAACCATTAAATTGTGGAGTTGCATAATGAATATATTGATGCAGAACTGAAGAGATGATTCCCCTTGATATAGACAGCAGTTGTTTTAAGGGCCAAATTCAACTTTGGTATAGCTCCATTGACTCCAGAAGAGGTAATGCTCTCTCACCCGTGCTCAAGTGAATCATATCTACTATTTATTTTAAAGTGACTCTTGTATAACAGTGATCTCAGAACAAGCACTGCGGATCTACAGTGCCCTATGAATGTGTTTGGAATATGGAGATGTTTTTGCAGCATTGCACTTTAAGACATAGCAAACATCTACCTGATATGTTTCTATAGGCTTTGTTTCCATGTTCAGATCCCAGACTTTGACAGTGAGGTAATCCCTTGTTAGCATATATCGGCCACTGTGACTGAATTTAACATCTGACACTGAAGAGATAATTTCTGAAAAAAACGATCTGTTACTGGGGTCTTCCGGTTCTTCAAAAACTGGTTTAAAAAAAAAAGAGAGAAAAAGAAATTAGAATATCATAAAAATGTTTCTTTATACAATTCTTTATTATGTGCTTCTCTTTTGAAATAATATGGTTCAGGGTACAAATCCATTCCATATAAAATGAATGTTATGGCTGCTAATTTCTTCATCATAAGAATACAAGATTCACATTCTAAAAGATTCATATTTTAGAACATGGGCTTTGACAGTTTTGGAGGAAGCAAACATGTTGGCTCAGTTAAATTGACTACAGATGATGTCAGTTTAGAATTGAGTAACAATGATAGCTTAGAATTATCATTTATTATTTGTATTACACTAGAGCTTAGGAGCCCCAGTCATGGACCAGGACCCCATTGTTCTAGCTGCTGTACAAACAAACAACAAAAAAGACAGTCCCTGTCCTAAAGAGCTTATAATGTGATTAAGCATGTGTGTTACCTTTCATTCAGCATGATTCCAGACTGCTTTACAAAACTATACACATAAGAATCATTTCATCCACCAATGAAGTACAACCACCCCTGTGTTTAAAGACAACAGCTATTGAAACTCTTTTGGGGAAAAGACTATCTTTTTGTTCTGTGTTTGTACAGCCCTATGAAAAAGTTGAGGACAGAAAATGAAACAAATTTTCCATTTAAAACTGGTGAGGGAAGGTATGTATTAAATGGAAATTAGTCACGATGCTGCAAAACACGACAAGGGATTGTTCATATCCACAAGAGAGTCAAGAACAGAATTGTGTAAATAATTGACTTTTCAGTTCACTGGCCAAGCCAAAAACTAAAACTGAACTGTTTTGGGTCAACCCAAAATGATTTTTAATTTTTTGGCAAACCGAAAAGTAAAAAAATAAATAAAAATGTTTTGGGTCAAATCAAATGAAACAAAATGTTTCATTTCATTTGGCCAATGTTAACTTTTTTTTAAATTGCAGCAAGTTTCAAAACTAAGTTATTTCAAATAAAAAATGGAAATGTTTCATTTCAAAAATGACAAAACAAATTTTTTTTTGACTGAAACAATCTTGTAAACTTGACAAACTTTGGCAAAATGTTTTGGTTGACCCAAATCTGCATTTTGGCCAAAAAGAGGTTTATCCAAAAAACATTGCCCAGCTCTAGTGAAGAACTTTATTTTATGTAATATTTCTAGAAGCAGAGATCCCGCATGACGTGACGGGATCAGCTGGTTCAGTAGTGGCACAGTTAGTGAATCCCCATCGCTATTCTTGCACCTTATTTGTCCTGGAAGGGCTTCCATCCCATTACTGACCAGCTGCAACCCTGATTACTCTGGGGGATGTATTTATTATTAATGATTTTTTTTTCTTAAGAAAAAAGCCCTCTGCATCCTCTGCCAAGGCATCTGGGGTGCTGTACAATATAATAAAACATTAATTATGGTTGAGATTTTCAAAGGAGCCTAAAGGAGGTAGGTACTCAACACCTATGAAAATGGCCTCTCTGAAAAATTCTGACCTAAAATGAAGAGTTAAAATTAGTGAAATATAGTATACACTACAGTATACAACAACAACAATAATAATGCACTCAGTCCTTTAATCTGAAGAGCTCAACATTATTTTTCAAAAGGAGAATTATCATCCCTATTTCACAGATGCAAAAACTGAAGACCTGTAGCTAACAATAAAAGATATCAGGTATATTTCAGATATCAACATGAAATATAAGTATTAATTAATATTCTAACATAGGCCTCAGGTCTATAAGACAATAGCTTAGCTAAACTGAGGCCTAAGGCCTAGAGACTTGACAGGAGCAACTAACCAGTAAGTGACCCTAGATCATAAGTTGTCACAAGATAGCAATGACCTTATATCACAAGATGTCATCAGGTAGAATATTGCATTAAGCAAGTGTTCCTAAACTGCTGATATTTAGGAAACATATATTGCAAAGTACCAGTTAAAGCCGGTTAGAATACTGTGGAGATTTTTGCAAACATAGGGAGTCAGCAATGTGCCAACCACAAGTTGTTATAGTGATTGAGTGACATAAATGTTAATCAGTACAAGGAGAACTAATAGCCCAAGCACCCATCAGGGTCAGAAAGAGACATTGGGACTCTTGACTCCCAGCCCCCTTTGCTAACCACTTAACCATGCTTTTTCTGCATGTTAAGTTCACAATCTGAGGTGAAATGTCTGCAAGTAACTGAGGAAAAGAGTTTACTAAGTATTTAGATAAGTAAAGTGGCTTTCTCCCCCACCACACCCTTAAAGCAAAATACATAAAATGCATCTGTGCGTGATTACTTTTTGTAGTCCACCAAGAATTTACTTCTCACTAAAATTCAAAGTATCTAAGTTACAGCTTCAGAGAATCAAAATAATGTTATGCTGAAAAATAAGAGAGGTGATTATATGTGGGTTAACTCAGAAAATGATGGGCAACTTTCTTTGAGGGTGGTGCATGAAACGCAGCCATGCTTGCACACGAGAATAGACTCTCTGTATTTAAGCACATACAACAAATCTAAATGATAATTAACTACATCAAAAGAAAGAAAGAAAAAACTTTTCAGCCTGAGAGTAAACGAACACCTTTAAACAGCTCTCTGAAAATGTGCGGAGACATTCAGTAAGGTAGATATTTTGTAATTATCCTGTCAAGTTTTCAATAGAAGTCTGATGAGCACAAAGCAATTATCATCTCTCACACCTCTTCCCTTTAATCTGTCCAAACCATGTATTGTGAATGACAGGAATTTCATCCTCCTAATTATGATGTAAAGTTGTTATTAAAACCAGGAAAGAAAAAAGCCACTAAAATGCTCTTTCATTTATGGCAGTGATGAGTTTTCTCTGTGTTTCTCAGCTTAAAAGCTCTACAGTTCTGGTTGAGTTCTGCCAATGATTTCAACAGGAGTTAGATCAGAACTGGTGTGCTCTCTATTTCATTACATAGTCATAATGGTCATATACAATAGCGGCCCTTATTTAAGGGAAATAGATAGGGTTCTCTCATCATCTGCAGTATTCCCTGTTGTTTTCCTATATTTACTACAGTAAATACCTTGAATACTATAAATCATGAGGTTATTTATATTCAAATATTAATTTAGGTATTAAAGTCAAGGTTCACTATCTTTTTTAAAAGGTATTTTCTTTCTTTATGTGAGAGAAAATGGAATTTAGTAGCCCTGCTGTAAGCAACTCCTTTAAGCAGAGTAGCTAGCCCCAGGAAGATCGCCTCAGTGTAGGGAGCATCTTTGGGTGGTTTTATGACCTCTATAACACCCCTGTGTGCAGCAGACATAAGAGACGTGCTAGGGAAAAGGGGAGTAGCTAGGGCATCCCATCACCCTGGGCATCTCTGCCTGCTATAATAGTTTGCTGGAGTCATTAGCATCAGTGTAAGGTAAAGCAGCCTTTGGTCTTCACTAATTCACACTGGGAGACCAGTATAGCATACAGTAGCCCAGGATCAAGAGAGTGCAAAGCTGCTTTAATTTTATATAGCAAGAGAAGTCTCATTTGATTGGGATCTGGAACTAGAGTTTTGCTGAAAGCTGCTTAAAAAATAAGTTATAATTCTCTAGCAATTACTAAATAACTTTGATAACTGTCTAACTGTCTACCTTCAGTTATGAAAAAATGGATTTCATACTCCAAATGCAATTGTCCCTTCTCAACGTTAGTTACCGGTATATCAAAATGCTAAAGCTAATTGTCCAATTGCAAACCATTGCACAAGCTGATGAACACAATCATCAGTAATCGTGTGTCATTTGAATGTTCATTTAACAGAACCTAGATTTAAACATGGTCTTGATGGTAGAGGCAGTGCTATCATTAGCTATGACTTTATCTGATGCAGTTATATGGATTTACTGTAACTTGTGTGAAACAAATATTTTACAGAAGTTTGATTTCCTATCTTTGTGACTCTGTAGGTTTAAACTCAATAATTTCCCACTGCTTTCTTTTGTTTCCACCCTACTCATCTCACTGCCTGACACAGTGGAGAGGACCATGTGCAGGAACAAGTAGGGAAAACAGCATGTACAAGGGAGACCAGTGGGTCTGTGGAATAATCTCCCATCTGTCAAGTTCTGCAGCTTGTAAGGGAACTGTTATGTGAAAATGATAAAGACAGACAGAGACAGTTATTTTCTTCTAACACTGCCCAAGGACTTTATTAGAATAAACAAAGAGCATTAGCTCTTAAATTTTGCTTCACTGCAGAACTTCTGCCTTGAACTTCTTCTAGCGTCCCTCCGATCCCACTGGCTTCTTGCTACAGATTTAAAACTAGTACCTACTTTCACAGAAAAATGTCTGAGTGCGGAAAGGAGAAGATTGGGTTGATGGATGTGCTCCATGATATTGCTCCCCTAAAGCCTGTAAACAATTGGCAGCCTAAAATCATATTGCTTCCTTCTAAGAAAAATCTGAAGGAAACTCCATGAGTTGAAATCCAAATTTCTTTGCCTTTACATATGTTTCTTAATGTAGGAGAGGAGGAGACAGTATAGGTCAGTGTGTGTAACATAATGCTGCTTCCACCATTTTATCTTGGGCCTGATTTTGCAACTCCTTACTCACATGTCAGTGGGCTTACTCATATGACTAGGGACAGCCTGTGCTGGTAGCGTTTGGAGGATCAAACCCTATAGAGGCAGCAGTTTTGTCAACAATACACATTGTCATTCAGTCAGACGGATCCTCATTTTGAATGCAATATCACTGCTATGTTGATAACACTAATTTACTGTATCAAGACTATTTTAAATACAATCATCATTAGTTACATGATCACATACTATTTCTTAAACTATATAATACATGACAAGTTTTTTTCCCTACATCCTTGTAAGACGCATCATCTAAAGTACATAGTGAACGAGACACTAGTGCTGTATATAAGTAATTTGTACAGACTCTTTGTGTGGCATACACTGAAGTACAATGGAGCAGAGCTGAGGTTCCATGTGAAATATTGACCTTGGGAATTTCCTGACTTAA